AAACCTCTGAGCACAAGGGGGAAGGGGTTTCACCTGCTTTAGGGACTTAAAGTCCTCAGAGGCTCCCATGGTGCAGTCCAATTCAAAAGAGGGGAGGGATGCAGTGGCACCACTGCACCCACTTCTGGATCTTCCCCTGAGAGTAGTGAATGTCTTTATCTGCTCCAGGGAATAACTTACAATAAAGTTAGATGGGAGATGAGGCTGGGAACAGAGCAGTACAGCCTCCCCTTCAGTGTTAGGTGCTGCTCCTTCCCTCCTCTTTGGGAAGTGCTGGATCTACCCCTGGGTACTGTCATTCTCTGCTGACATCCATAAGAAGAAGCATCAATGTCAGCTGAAAACACAACTGCCTGCCTTACCTTTTGGGGAATAGTTGCAAACAAGTTCAGGGATGGAAAAATAGGGCAAGCAGAAGTTTAAAAAGGAGATAGGTTGATCTGAGTTTTTTCACATTACTAATTTCAAACACAAATCCATCAAGAAGCAAAAGTAAATAACTCAAGAAAGCGACAACAGGTAAATCTTTAAAACAAAAATCTTAACAAAAATGTAAAACTTACAGAAGAGTGCAGAGAAAAGCATAGGTGTTTAAATACTTTTACTATCTCAAAACACCTTGATGGCATAATAATTAAGATTATTTATAAATTAAACGTTATTGTTAACTCTCTATCCTTCATTGAATAGAGCAAGGAAATCCAGGAAAAACATACTTTGCAAGAAATCTATGAGTACAACATAGCCGTGATCTGAGGAAATAAATGCTCCCACTGCTATGCATGCCCTGGGAGGGCATGGGGGCGAATGTGCCCCTGAATCTATATGTGGGATAAGGGTGGACTGCTGCTGTGGGCTGGAGCTGCTTCAGGCTTTTCCTGCTGGGGAGCTGGGGTGGGCTGCGCTTGGGGCAGGTGGCAGTAGTGCTGGGATGAGAGCTATGTGGGGCGGGCGACAGCCACCCCAAAATTTGCTGTAACTGTCCCCCACCTGGCCTAAGCACAGCCCTGGCCCAGCCCCCCTGCCCCCCCACCAGGAGGCATCCAGTGCCACCCCCAGCCTGCAGCAGCATCCAGCCCTTGCCGCATGCACAGATCTAGGGGCACATGACCCTGCCCATGTGCTCCTGGGGCAGGCATAGTGGTGGGAGCTGTGCCCCTCACATTACCCAGTTGAGCCACTCATGGATCCATCCCATGGCCAGCCCCAGCTATGCAGTGCCTGCCCCAGCCCAAACCCCACTCCCTCCCTTATTGCGGGAGCCTTGATCTGTCCCCCACACACCCCTTCCCTCCCCTATCCCTTCCCCAACAACAGACTTGCCAGCCAGATGCTGGTCTCCATGCTGCAGGTCTGTGCTCCTGGCTACCTGTGTGCTGCACTGTGGCTGCATACATGCATGGGGCATTTATTGGCCACATTATCAGCCACATTAGCCATAAAAAGCTGATTGCCAATTATTGTCAATTTTCCTTAGATCGGTACTGAACCGATATGAGACCAATGTATTGATGCACCTGTTTATGTTCATAGTTACACATCTGAATTGCACTTTATGCAGCTTTTTTAAACATTTCATATTTGTGTGCCTCCTGCAATGCTGAATAGAATTTATATAAAAATAATCTGAAAACACAATTTGGTTATAATATACTGACACCAGGTACAGGTATTTTGATTTATATACCAACTTTGTTTGAACAACTGAGGGCAATTCTAGTCTCTGTTATAAATCTTGCATACTTTGAAGACTAATTCGAAACTTCATCGCAATGTACTTCCAGTAATTCCATGGAATTAGTGACTAAAATAAAGTGAAATCAGAATTAGGTCCAGTCTATGTGAACTCATGTTCCAAGAGGTCTTTTGAAGCAGTATGTATTTTTTCTATATAATCAAAATAACTATAGATAAGGAAAGAAATATTGCTTCAAAAGATGCTGTCCTTGGGAGTCTTTACATATGCTCTGGGAGTATAGGAGGAGAGGTGCTTTAATTAGAACTCTCAAGAGCTGCTGTAATTAAAGTGCCCACAATGTTTTGTGTAGTCAGCTTCTGGCACGTCAAAATGGTGGCAGGGGTGCTTTAACTATAACTATAAAGTTTGTTGAATGAGCTTAAGTGCCCCCACTGCCATTCTGAAGCATTGGGAAGCTGAATACACAAGACACTGAGGCTGCTGGAGTGAGCTAATTAGCATGCTGGACTGCTCATTATCTGCTGGCACATGCTAGTCAGTGCTAATTAGCACACTCCAGCAGATTCAATTAATTGAGTCTGCTACAATGCGCTATAATTACAGTACGTCAGATCAGGCATCCCACATGTCTACAGGCACCCTTGTGCTTAGAATATACAACCTGTGTTTCACTTTGTTTTTGATTGTGTGGTGAAAAGGAACTACTTGAATGCAATAAAAAGAATTGGGTTCTTTGAAATCCAGAAAAAATAACATGATTGCCAGTCTTCCATTTGCTGGAAGAAGAGGAACTATAATAGTAATATTATATATGTAGTCATATAATATATCAAGTAACAAATCTGTTTATATCACATCCATGATGTGGGCATCTTGCCACATTTGCACCTTTCTCAGTAATCCATTCATACAGGCCCACTCCTAGGGTTCCAAACCTTTAAGCTTCTTGCAGTTTCTTTGTCACAAAAAGAAACAACTTGGTTTCCTCCCATATGCCTGGGAAAGTGCTTTTTCAGCTAATGTCAGCAAAAACAGTCCCCCCTCCCCCCATTTTCACATTCATTCAGGGCCAGCTTGTGAAAGTATTGCATGGGACCACTGAACAATAGTGACTTTTATCAAAGGAATATAAGATTTTCCCTGTGCAGAGGAGCAAGCCCCAAGATAGAAAAGGTAATTTGAGGCCAGGTCTCCAGACTTTCGAACTAACTCAGATCTACCCTCTTGATAGTGTTCAATATCTGACATGTAGCAATATTCCATACATCTTTTGACTCAGCTCCCCTCAAAGTCTGTGAAAAATGCTAACTTCAACAGGAGTTGAAGCTGACACTTCAGGCACTTGGTGGATGACTGAATTAATGGTAGTCTCCCACTTTTATTTTTTTTCCAAGGGGAAACCCTTTTAGAAAAATAGGAGTCTACCTAATATGCATATTTCATGGCCAAAAACCTGGAAAGCACTCAGTGAGTGTTTATTTGAATAGAATTTCCATTATTTTCATTAAGTAAAATATTATAAGTTTTAATCTTTGGGCCTAGATTGTAGCACCTGTACTTAGCCATGAAGTCTATTCTGCTCATCATAGGGACAGAAATTACACATAAAGTGGTATAAGTGACTGCAAAGCTTTTCAAATCTGTAACTCAACAGAAGTTCAGTGCGCATAAACTACTTTCTAAAGGCTGGCACTGAACCTGAATGGATGTAGCATCAGACTTAACTGATTTAGACTAAATTGGTTGATTGAACTTCTGTCCCAGATCCCCTCCAGATTCATATTACCTCACAGTTCCTCAGCATCCCAGGATGCTTTGCATCTCCCCTGCAAAGGTGAGTGGGCTAGCCTTGGCCCAAGCTGCCTGTTCCGGCTGAGCAGGGAGGCATGCTCTAGAATCCCCTGGCTTCTGGTCTGAGCCACTAGAGGCATATGGCTGCTTTTCTTGAATTAAAGGTGAATGTCTGTTCACTTTCTTATTGGTTCAATCTATGCAGCTTAGGCAAACTTTGTATATCTTGACTTTCAAAAAGCTCTTGATGTGGCATCCCATAATGTTCTCATGAGAAAATTGGAAGACTGTGGGCTTAACTGGAGACAGGTGGGTAGGAAGTAGGGCTGTGCAAAACAGCATCGTTCCACTTTGACTTCAGTTTCAACGTTCCGAAGGAACAGTGTTTCATTTCGAGTCTTGTTTAATTTCAAAAGCACTGTTCTGTTTAGCTTTGTTGAAACTGTTTGGCTGTTTCGATACTGTTTTGATGCTTTGCCCACCCAGCACCAGGAAGATAGGTGCTGCCACGGGCCCCAGCCGGCAGCACCAGCCTTCTGTCATCCGGCAGGCAGATCAGGGGCCCACACCCCCAGAAGGAGTCCAGCACAGCCCCCACAGCCCTCCCAGGGGTGCAGGCGAGCCCCCAATCTGCCTGCTGGATGACAGGAGGCTGGTGCTGCCAGCTGGGGCCAGCATCAGAACTGATCTTCCTGGCATGGGGTCCCATCCAGCAGCACCAGCCTCCTGTCATCCTTGGGCTGGCTTCAGCATGGGGCGTATCAGCTCATGCAGGGACCCACCACTGCCCTGATCCCAGGGTGTGGGCAGGTCCCTTCACAAGCTGATTTGCCCCAGGCCCCCCACCCACCACAGGCCAGCTCTGGTACAGGGCCTGGGGCATATCAGCTGGTGTGGGGACCTGCCGCCACTCTGATCCCGATTCTCAGCTGGTATAAATTGCCATAGCTCTGTTAAAGTAAATTCTTGATTGCATGGCAATTGACAAAAGCTGTGATGAATCAAAGTGACACTCAGTTAAGATTTTAAAAGGAAAACAATCTTCATAAGCAGTAGCATTCATAAAGTTTTTTTAATAAATAAAAAAGATTTTGTTTGTATAACACACATACCTGCTAACTCCTTGAACTGAATACTAGGACTAAACTGGGAAATGAAATTTACTAACTCTCAATACTATACCAGGAGCTTTCAGTTCCTATTACCATGTCACACTCCGACTCTGTTTCACAGGCTGAAATGCACTCTTGGGCTGACAGCTTACACATGGCCCGTGTATCACTTAAATCCTCTTTAATCCCTCTTTTGAGATTTAAGTGGGATTTATGTGGTACGCAGTCCTTGTACTGATCCTATGCCTGAGGTGAATTTCACCCTATGTTTCCATTTCATGTGTATGGCCATTTCACATAGTGCTATTTGTACCAATTAAAGCCCTTCTTCCAGTTTATAAACAAAACAAAACAGTCTCTGCATTGCTCTCCAAGTTGTTATTGTTGCTACTTTTTACCTTATTCTTCTTCCTCTTCCGTCGGAATCTCAGGAGTTCTTTATGTTGCCTTGACACAAAATTTACAGCTGCGTACTCCAGAAGTGCAGAAAATACAAAGAGCAGGCATACTGCCATCCAGATGTCAATTGCTTTGACATATGACACCTACACAGAGAAAAGAGCAACAGACTGAAGATATTACAAACCACAGATGTGTATTTTGGTATATCATAATGTCAGGGGAAGATAAATTCATGCCCCTTACCGCAGTTCTTTTTTTACCAAACAATCACTAGCATGAAACCTGATTATATAATAGAAGCAAAAGATTCAGTCTGTATTTTGCAATTTAATTTAAATATGTGTGATACCTATATTTTGCCTGGTCACAAACTAATCTTTTCAAAACAGAAGTTTTGTTCTTGGCTAACATCTCTTCATGGTCTGTTTTACATTGCATTTATCATAACCCTGATAGTTTAAAGGGGAGAAGCAGGGAAAAAAAAAGAAACATTCTTCCTAGAAGCGTATGGGCTGTTTCCTACTGAAATATGATCAAGAAGCACAAAGGGACTGGAAAGTAGCTGTAAGTGACTGACTTGGCATCTACCAGGCAATGCTGGTAGGGAGAAAAAGGGCATAAGATAAAAGAGAACTTGGCTATGTCCATCTACTTCTGGCACAGTCCAGGAGGCACCAGAGGCCACCACTATACATTCAGACAGCTTCTTGTCTCCTGTAACTTTGGGGATGGAGACATAACCGATTCCCTGATACACTTCCTCTTCCCTGTGTAGCTCAGTTGCAGGATACAATTTGGGCTTGTAATTTAGGGCTGGTTCTTGCTGTGCCTAAAAGCAGTTGGAGTTTTAACATTTAATCCAACAAAATCCAAACCAGGCCCCAAATCTGTAGTTAAAAGTGTATCTGGCTTTTTTCCCCTAATGTAATACTTTGCTGTTAGTCTCTCATTTAATGTGGAGTTGTAGTGTTTCCATTTGTTGCAGATTTGACTTTTCTATATATTTTCTATATTTTTATATATTATATATCTTTTATATATTTTAGGGCTAGAACACTCTTTTCCCATAGGAGAACTATATTTTTAAAGAGGAAAAAAGAATTGGCTGCAACAACTGGAATTTTAATCCAATATTTATAAAATGTCTCAAGGTGATAATAGCAAATTATTATTACATTAAATTATTCCCACTGGCCACAATGGGGGATGAAGATGGTCAGCTCTTCCTAGGATCAGGCCTTTATGACAAAACAAAAGAAAACAAAAAGAAATAGCAATGAACGTTGGAGGCTTGAAAGAGTTAATTAGAACAAACAAAAACTCTGTTTTCTACAATGAGTCATTTCCTATGGAATGTTTTTTGTACTTGACTAGTTTAATTTATTTTCTTTGTTTAAAAAAAAATTATCTGTGGATTGAGTGGAATAATGAAATGCACACAACTTGTAGACAGTGGTTTGTTTCCTCCCCACCCTCCTATTTAAACTGCAGTGTATTTGCTGCAATTAACCTAGGGATATATTTATTTTTGTGGTTCTTTGGTTAGTATTGATTGCTGTGTGCCTCTTGAGTCAGTCAAGACCTAGTGTCATTGGGTTACCTTCCTTCTATTCATCCTTAATGAATGTGCAGATGTTTTAATAAAGAGAGCATTTCAAAGGCTTTCAAAGGCCTCTGATAACTATATAGGATTACTGTTTGTCTTAACACAGTAATATCAGTATAATATGAGAGGGTGTTTTTTGCCTACCTTTGGGAGTGATGCTCTCGAACCTGAACTCTGTGTTGTCATGGTCAGTACAGTTGTTATACCTAAAGCTACTCGGGCTGGAGCGGCATCCATATTGATCCAAAATGATACCCAGGAGAGAATGACAATCAAGAGACTTGGAATGTACATTTGAATGAGATAGTAACCCATCTGTCTTTCAAGGTGGAAACGGACTTCAATGCATGTAAACTTTCCTAGTTACAACAAAGAAAGAAAGTGTTTAATAGAAATAGTCCATTTTTAAAAATGTCTAATGTCTAATTCTCACACACAAAAATGTACACTACTAGTTCAAATATACGTGTCCTCTAATGCAGGGCTGTCTGACTGGTGGCCATTCAGCAATTAACACACAGCCTTCTTGCCTTGGTGGCTTCCTTTCCTCCTGCTGACATATGGTGTGTGGCCCAGAGGGCCATATACTCGTGCTGTGTGTGGCCCCTACCATGCCAAAGTTGGACAGCTCTGCTCTATTAGAATTACTGTTGGATTCTGCAGTATATACGTTTCACTATCCAGATGGAAATATCTGTTTGTGAGAGAGGCACAGAACCCCTTGAAATGTAATAGTTACTAACCTCTAGGATTGTATTTATCCAAAAAGTAAGGATTATATTAAAACACAGAAAACATTTTTTCACTGGTGCATAACTATGATACCCCTTTGCCATCTGGAAGCTCTAGTCTTCAAAGGTTTTACTTTCTAAATATATTTCTAACCTGAAACACGTTGACCAATAATGTAAACAATGGACGCTTAAATTGGTTACTTGAGAAATTACTCTAAGTTGCCTAATTATAAAAAAATGCTGAAAATCCAGCAGTCCCCAAAAACTTAATTAAAAACAGAATAAATGAGTGACTTATTCTCCTGGGGAAGTAAAGTATCATTATGTCCCACCAACAATGAAGATAGGGAGTTCATTGGGCATTTATGACAAAAAAAAAAAAGAAACTAACAAGAAATAGTAATGATGATTTTGGAGGCTTGAAATAATTATGGAAAAAAACTCAAACTCTTGCTTAGCATAGGACTGCCAACAGGTCATTTGTCCTATCTGTAAATTTTGTAGTAAATATAACAGTTGGAAATCCTTATTTTGCCAATTAACTCAAAAATATCCTTGTATAAGAACCCAGCATTGCCATTGATTCAATGATACAATTTTTCACCCCATATCTCTTCATTCAAATCTGTTCTGAATGTTGCAGAAAAGTTGTTTTAGCATCTGGTGTCTCCATGTTTCTATCTGAATGCTGATAAAGGCTCTCACCCTCTTCTGCTTCATTCAATTTGAGGCTAAAGCTAGTGCTTATCTTGAAATTTTTTCTGAACTATATTTTTGCTTACATCTCCTGGCCTTGCATTTTTGTGGTTGATCTCTATTTTGTAACTTGGCTCCTCTTTCTAGTCTTCTCCTCCTTTCAGCGATTTCATATTGTTTCTTATACTGTGTCCTTTGAAGTATATTCCCAGATTCACTAAGCTATATAACCTATGTTCCTTCCTTAAACTTCATTTAGCCTGTCTTTTTTATCTTTGACAGAGACACCCCAGAATGAACCTGATGCTAACAGATTTAACAGCATTAGTATGTCTACCCCCGCCTCAAATTTCTGTACATTGTCATCTCTTTCTATGTCATATCCAAATTAAATCATTAAAGCAAGGTTCTGTCAGTAAGTTTTCTTACATGCCGGTATTACTTGTAAATAACACGTGTTAAAGACAGGGAAACATCTTGATGAAAATTTTCTGCTTACCCCCAAAAAGATTTTTTTTTGCTTAGGGAGAAATTGGTAGTTTTATCTTGCTATGGAACCAGTGATGTGAGTTCATGCCATCTTCCGGATTTGTATCAAGGGCTGTCTTCAGTGGACCTTAAGGCCCTAAATTGGGTACCTGATTATTCAGGTTGAGGACCCATAAGCAGCTGGTTGTGATGCTACTTGCATCAGTCACAAGTTATGTCACTGTTTTCAAGAGCTATGCTAGCTCAATGGGACTTGGGTGAACCTTTGACCTGGTAATCCTCACAGCAAAAGGATTGGAGAAGAAAAAAATAATCTCTCTTCTGTTGGCCAGTCAGTCTTATCAAATTATCAGGCAGGTGGAGAGGTGTCAGAATGAGAGGAGGAAGAAATGGCAAGCTGAAAAAAATGGAGCAGTCTGATGTACCATGCTGAGTCAAAGTAGTAAGGGTAAAAAAAACATGGAGAATATTTAAGCTTATAGCAAAGATTTTTTTAGCGACAGACTCACTATAACATTTTCCCCTTCTCCACAAATTTCTGTTCCTTTGCAGCTGTAAAGCAAGGGAATGGTAGGAAATGTAAAATGGATAGTACATTCATTTGGTGTGTATTGTGGGTCCATAATGATAGTGGATTGAACTTTCCTGAAGTCATGACAATGGGAGAACTTCATACTCCAGATGGCATTATGATAAAGAAGTATCCTGATTACCCCAGATGAGCTGGAATTAATATATAGATCTCAGGCAGCCTAAAGTATGTGGCAGTAGGGTATGAACAATGAGTAATACTAGCCTAAAATAAGTGTGGTTTCCTACACACGCAAGCTGACAGTGTAAGAAAGGGAGGAGAGATTGCAGAGGATAAAATCTTGTTTGTACAAAAGATTCATAGTGACAGGGCTAGTAACAGTCATAAAACCTGGAACATAGAGCAAAAGAGAGTTGGGGTTTTAAGTAAACCAGGATTAGTATTGAGTGACATTTAAAAGGATTAACACTGAAAGTTGTTTTTGTTTATTGCTTAAAAGGAGGAAATGCTCAGTGACAAAATGAAATAAATAATGAAGAGGATTGTACTCTAGAAGTAAAAATAAATGAGAGGGGCTGATAGAGAGAATTCACTAGTTTCTTATGGGAACAGTTGCTTAGATGTATGATGCTTTAAATTATCAACTTCGAATTAGGCTTCTTCCTGGTGGCTACCTGTTCTATGATGTGCCTTTCTTGGTGAGGGGAAATGCTTCATGGCAGCTGCATGGTAGTGATATATCATGGGAAATGAAATCTGTTGGTAGAGTCTAATCCATGGAAGAGAATCGAAGTATAAGGCAGTATGAGTCTCATAAGCAGAGAGGTAAATTTTGGAATAAACACCAGAAATCTGTGGAAGGCAAGCACTTTTTTTAATGAAAGATATCATTTAGCTGAGAACCTAGTTTTCTGCTGAAATATATTCTCAATGGAAAATATTCAAGTATCCTTCCTAATTATTATTTCACATAGCTTCAGCATCAACTTAAGAGTAATCATGTAATCATTTTAAAGGGTGGGATGTGGAAAGATAATGCCAAGAACAGAGGAATCAGGTCTTTTGTGTTTTGAGAAGGTCAGCAGCCTAACTGCTCTTTCTGTCTTTGACAATCTCCTATTTATGCTCTAGTAGGGCTAGGGTGCTGTTGTAGCCATGATGGTAAAGGAAATGTGTGACAGGCAAGGAGATTTTGTGATACCTTTTATTGGACTAGCTGCGTACTTGGGAGAGCTGTTGGACTAGCTTTGGGCATCAGGTGTCCTTCCTTAGGTCTTCCTGAGGTGCTTAGACCTCAGGACAGGAACTTGGTGCCCAGAAGTCTATCCAATAGGCCACCTAACTACTTGGTTCAATACAGGGTATCATAAAAAGTCCTTACCTATTTATGCTTTGGATGATTGCTTTAACTGAGTATTACTTCACAAAAAAACTAGCATATGCTTTTTTTCTGCAGGTGGATCAACAGTGACACAAATTTAGCTGAACACGGGCCACATCTACATGAGACTCTAACTGCACAGTAGCCCGATACTGCTGCACAGTAGCATTGTGTGGCAAAACCTGGAATGTGATACTACTATGCAGTAGAATCATAGAATCATAGAAAATCGGGATTGGAAGGGACTTCAGGAGGTCCCTTATTGTCCAGAGGGGATCTGTTGGCTGTTTACAAACTCACCAGGGGGGACCAGAGGAAATTGGGTGAGGCTCTGTTCCCCCAGGCACCACCAGGGGTTACTAGGAATAATGGCCCCAAATTGTTAGAGACAAGGTTCAGGCTGGACATCAGGAGACATTACTTTACAGTTAGGGCTGCCAGGCTCTGGACTGGACTCCCAAGGGAGGTGGTGCTCTACCTTGGGGGTCTTAAAGAGAAGGCTGGACAGATATTTGGCTGGGGTGTTAACACCCCACACTCGTTCCTGGCTGGGGCAGAGGGTCAGACCTGATGATCTGTTTAGCTCCCTTCTGACCCTAACCACTATGAAACTAACCCCCTGCTCAAAGCAGGACCACCTCCAATTAGATCGTTGCATCCAGGACTTTGTCTAGCTGTGCCTTAAAAACCTCCAAGGATGGAGATTCCACCACCTCTCTAGGTAACCGGTTGCAGTGCTTCACCACCCTCCTAGTGCAAGAGTTTTTTCCTAATATCTAACTCAAACATTCAGACTATTGATCCTTGTTCTGTCATCTGTCACCACTGAGAATAGTCTAGCTCCATCTTCTTTGGATCCACCCTTCAGATAGTTAAAGGTTGCTATCAAATCCCCTCTGTCTTCTTTTCTGCAGACTAAATAAACCCAGTTCCCTCAGCCTTCTCCTCATAAGTCATGTGCCCCAGCCCCCAAACCATTTTTGTCACCCTCTTCTGGATTCTCCCCAACTTCCCCACATCCTTTCTATAGTGGGGGATCCAAAACTGTACACAGTTCTTCAGATGTGGCTTCACTGGTGCTGAATAGAGCAGAATAATCACTTCCCTTGTTCTGCTGGCAATGCTCCTACTAATGCAGCGCAGTATCCCATTAATCTTCTTGGCAACAAGGGCATACTTCTGACTTATATCCATCTTATTGTCCACTGTCACTCACAGGTCCTTTTCTGCACAGGTGTTGCTTAGCCAGTCAGCCCCCAGGCTGTAGCAGTGCATGGGATTCTTCTGTCCTAAGTGCAGGATGTTGCACTTGTCATTGTTGAACCTCATGAGAATTATTTTGGCCCAATCCTCCAATTTGTCTAGGTCACTCTGAATCCTAACCCTACACTCAAGTGTACCCCCTACACTCTACTGTACTCCCTAGCTTGGTGTCATCTGCAAACTTGCTGAGAGTGCAAGCCATCCCACCTTTCAGATCATTAATGAATATATTGAACAAACTGGCCCCAGGATTGATCCCTGGGGCACTCCACTTGATATCCTGCAGGTTAGACACTGACCCATTGATTGCAGCCACACAACACTCCAGACAGCTTTCTATTCAGCATACAATCCATTCAGCCAATCCATGCTTCCTCAGCTTGCTTGCAAGAATGCTGTGGGAAACAGTATCAAAAGCCTTGCTGTTTTCCCTGCATTGACTGTTCTTGCATAGTATTAGGTTACTGTGTAGTAGCATCAGAAAAAGACGTTCATCAGCACTACTGCACAATAACTTGGGTTACTGTGCAGTCATTTAGTACTTGTTTATTAGGGCTGTGTGAAGCTTCAGTCCCTGATTCAATTCAGTGGAGATTCGACGCAATTCAGTGGACAAATCTCTGAAACCAAATTGAATCAGAGGACCCTTTAATCTCTCTGAATTGAATCAGAACCCTCTGAATCAATTCAGAAAGTTTTGGCGATTTGGACATAGACACAGCTTTAAATATTTTTTCTACATACCTCTAGGTAGCAGATGGCTTGTGAATGCTGTGATGCTGCGGCGCATGGAGAAGCCCACAGAAGCACTGGGGGCTCCCCAGTGTGCTCAAAAGCAGACTTGGAAGTGGACCAGAAGCACTTCCAGTCCACTTCTGGGTCTGCTGGGGAGAGTGCAAGGGGGGCCCCCTGCACTCCCCTGGCTTGGTAACTGGTGCCTCCTGGGTCTGGAGGGGCACCCAGGGTCCCCCCACGACTGATTACTGAGCCGGGAGGTGTGGGGAAGTCCCCAGTGCACTCCCCAGTGGACCCAGAACTGGACCGGAAATACTTCCCTTCCGCTTCTGGGTTAAGCGTGCAGGGGAGCATCCCCCCATGCTCCTGGGGGACGCTCCATCCACCCCAGCATCACAGCATTCATGAGCCATGCCAGTACTTTGAGGTATGTAGAAAAAACTTTTAAAGCTGTGTCTATGTCCGAATTGCTGATTCTCCAAATCGGCATCGAATCTTCAGATTTGGATTCAGCTGAATTGAATTGGGGACGGTGATCCGAATCAACGAATTGAATCATTGTCCCTGATTTAGGCCGAATCCAAATCCAAACTGAATAGGGCCCATTTCGCACATCCCTATTGTTTATACAAGTACTAAATGACTGTGCAGTAATGACTGCACAGTCAGCATCTTGTATATACATGGCCACTGTCGGCAAAGTGAATAGGAAAGAGTTTTTCACCAAATCTCAGCGTACTAAACCTAGGGAGCACCCACTAGAGCTATAGCAGGAGACAGGTTTAAAACAAACAAGAGAGTACCTTTTTATGCAACACACAGTTATCTTGTGGAACTCATTGCCATAGGAGACTGTAGCAACAGATAGTATAGCAAGGTTCACCAAGGGACTAGACAAATTAATGGATGATGGATTCATTAATAGTTATTAAACAGAATAGTCAAGAATGTGTGGCAGTGGACTGATCATTCTAAAATTATGAAGAATGTGAATGAAGCAAATAGGGAACTGTTATCTACAAAGTTCCAGAATACAAGAACCAGTGGCTACATACTGAAAGGTTTGAAACAAACAAGAGGAAGTACTTTCTACCAAGCACACAGTTAACTTTTTGAATTCATTGCTACAGGAGACTGTAGAGGCAGATACTACAACCATTTTCAAAAATGGATTAGACAAATTCATGGAGGACAGGTTCACTGAGAACTATTACATAGAACAGTTTGGGGGCCAGGGGGGTATCTTCTGACATTCCCCATACCAATGATGGTTGAGGCCATGGGATGGGTTATATTAGACATGCCTTACATATATTCTTTCTCTATGGCATATACTACTGTCATGGTCAGAGACGGTATACAGAACTAGCTGGACACAGGATGAATGCCTTATGTTCCTGTGTTTTAAATGGAAGCAGTTTGCAGTAATAGTTTTCACTTAGGGACATTTTTGCTTGCAAGGTTTATAGAAGTGTTATTTAGGTAGGGTGGTGCCGTTTTTTGTTTTTTTCAGCATTTGGTATCTATGGCTAGACTTATGATTGCATGTGTTGTGTGGAGGCTCAGGAAGGAGCATGTGTGTTTGTAGGTGGTAGATGTAGGTAAAAGCAAAGCTGTATTTATAATTTAAAAATGTATGAGGATGAAAGATGGATTTTCTGGTTACTATGGTTGCATTGCTAGGGTATGCAGTATTCCCATTCACGATTCTCCTAATCTATTACTGGTCAAAGTGGTACACAGAACCAAAGGGTGGGAGCTTTAATGTTTTTGTCCCACGACATTAATTATATTTGTTCTAGTTTGTTACTAGTACCATTACATTTCTAGGCACAGATGGCACTCCTAGGCATTTCAAGGCATAAACGAGACATACATAGGTCCATTTTCATGGTGAAATTTCACCACATTCATTCCACAGGCTGACTACTGATTATGCTATTTCTAGTATGTCTAAAAAAGAGAAGAAAGAAGCTATATATTTTGTGCTGTAACTAAATTTAAACAGAAATAATAACTGAGCACTTTCTGCATGCTATCTGTAGTCACTCAGCATCTTTTTAATAATCCATTTATTTTACTCTGTATGCCTGAGTGAAAGATACTAGATTTCAAAAATCATGATTAATTTTTCTACAGCATGTTTCTTAATGGAGTATCAGTGCACAGAATCACATTACAAGTGCCTGACATAAACAGTGTGTCCTCAAGCACAAACTGCACATAAGTGATTGCAGATTAGCATAACATTATGAAAGAAAAAGGAACACTTGTGGTTGTTGTTTCTTTTGCCATCATCTTTTACTTCCCACACAACATTTGATAATCATGATGTTGAATGTAGAAGAAAAAAGAAAGACAAAGGGTGCAAGGATTAAAACAGTAAAAACAAAAACTTCTCCCAGTTTTATGGAATGAACTCCAGATTCAAGGCAAACAAAAAATAAAGCATCCAGGCTAGATCGTGGCCCATGAGAAGTGTCACAGAAGGTGCAGTCTGGAGGCAAGGAAGGAAAGGTGCCTTTCAGTTATGCTTGTGCTGTCCAGGTTCTGACTGTGATGGTGACTAGTGTAGCCCCAGAGTAAAGCAGCTGCTTTAATTTACAGAGAACTTCCAACAGCCTGCATACCTGCATGGTGGAATTCTCCATTGATTTGTTACCTTGCATTTACAGCTCCCTGTACACCTTTGCTTACTGGGAAACGTATGCAGGCCAGGTGCAAGGGGAGGGGGGCAGTCTGACTGCCCCTCTATATTATAATTTAAATATTGAAGAACTAGTTTTGTCCTAATTCATTCTCTGTATGTATGATCTGCAATATTAGAAACCGAACTAAAATATTCTCTCTTTCATTGTTTAATACTGTTTCTGTCTGAACTAAAACAGTGCAAAACAGAGATTAGAGAAAGAGGTAGCTGGTTGGACTTCCTGGACACTATGGGTGACTGCCTATACATGTGCAGGCAGGCTGCTCCGACATGGTGTAATTAGAGTGCAGTGGAGCAGACTCGATTAATTGAGTCTGCTGGAGCATGGTAATTACTGCATTTCAACAGACTCTCGCATCACGTGTATCAGTGTCTCTACGCTGAAAAGTAGTAGTGGGGGCACTTTAACTAAAGCTCGAATGAGTTTTAAAGTACCCCCGTTGCCATTCTTCAGCATGGGAACACTGATACATGTGACGCTCAGGGTGCTTTTAATTAGAGTGGCTCCCAGAGCACATGTATGAACACCCAAAGGTCTTCCAGTTTGTTTTTAGTGAGAAATGCTACGTAACAGTTTTAAGTCAATAAACCTTTTTACAGTTACAATGTTCTGCTCCTGCAGAAATCGCATACAGGACATAAAGTTCTTGATAATTGAAGTATTTCAAGTCTGCCTGTGTGTCTGTCCATCCATCTTCTCAAGTACCTGGCAACAGTTTAGTATCATCATGTCAATTATTTCAGAGCACATTATTCTGTGAAACAAACATAAGTGTTATAATCTTTAGATGTATTCAATGATTTATTAAGAATAACAGAAAGTTGCAGCTGCTGTCTTTCCAGTTGTAGTGGACTAGAAAACTCTCCTACCTGTGTTGTAGTTTTTGGTGCAATAACATAAATCTTTCTCTTCTTTCAACAGAAACTGTGGCAGAGTGAGTCCTTCTGCTACTTGTACAGCTCCTGTTTCTTGCCATTCAAAAATGAGATCATTCATGGTGTATCCAACTAGGAAAAAATACAACCCATGTCTACTTCTAATTTAAAAATGCAGGTGATACACCTAATATTTATGTCCTATAAATGACATAGAATGAGAAAATATAATGGGCCCCAATGTACCACTCAAAGAAAGTACATCACCATTCATTCTCAGACTTGCAGATCTAGGCTGATAAAGTTATGGGGGTCCTTTATGAAAACAGAAAGCTGAATTAAGAGTGGGATTTTAAAAAGGTTCAAAAGAAGCAGGAAGGCTAACTCCCCGAGTCATTAAGACAAGTACACTTATATTTTGCAAAGGTATTGAGTTGTTTGATAGTGCATTATACAGAGTTTCTTCTCTAGATCTAAATTACCTGGAAGCAATTTAGGGTCAAGTCCTGCAAAAAGAACCATATAGATGGATTCTTACAGTTCTTTTTGTTGGATTGAGGCCATATCTACTTTGAAAATGTATTTTATTTTTGCATTAGCTTCAAAGAAAAATAGAATTGCATTATTTGATGATGTGATGACATAAGGCTGAAAGGGAACATAACATTAATATCCAGATTTCTGCATGACTAGATGTCTACCCCTAAGGCTGTACTGATATTATGTTTTTATATAAATTAATGTTATACTTGTAGCATCAGGAAGAGTAGTTTTTTAATTTGGTGCATGTAGTTGTTTGTATAGAATTAGTACTGTAAAAACCAGCATCAGAACTAGACAGTAGAAATACTAACCAAGAACTAGACTCTGGCTTAGGTAAATGCTCACATTGATAATGAATGACACAGGTTAGGGAGAGAAATTACACATAAACCAGTATAAGTGATCAGAAACCGGTTCAAATCCGTAACACAACAGAAGTTCATTGCACATAAACCGCTTTCAAAATGGCTGAAACAACAGGTTTAAAATAAACCTGTAGGGATGCAGTGTCAGACTTAACTGATTTAGGTTAAATCGGTTTATTCAAATTTTGTCCAAGATCCTCTTCAGATTCAAGTTCACTCACAGTCTCCCTGCATCTCAGGATTCTTTTCACCTCCCCCGCAACTCCTCCCCCTCGAGGGTGGGTGGGCTAGCTTTGGCTAAAGCTGTCTGCTCTAGCCAAGCAGGGAGGTATGTTCTAGCACCCTCTCTTCCCCCAGCTCCTGGTCTGGGCCACTGCAGGCATGTGGCTGCAATTCAGAAATCAAAAGTAAATGTCTGTTCACTTGCTTATCAGTTCAATCTATGAAGTTTAAACAAACCTGCAAAGATCGAATTGATTCAGCCTTTGGCTTTCTGACTGCCTGTGCTTAGCCATAGGAACCATATATGCAGACACACTTTGCTTAATAGCAGCTTGCATCCCGCTGGGGAAATCTTGCCCATGCAAAACACCAGTGTTACCTGTCTGAAAGGAAATGGGAAGGGGTAAGTGAGTTTTGGCCATGGCCCTTTTGTCCCCTCTCTTCGCCATACTGCTTCCTTTGTGCACACACTGGCTGGACACTAATCTATAAGTAGGCTGTACCTTCCCTTCAAGCTACTGCTCTAACATGCAAGCTTCAAAAGCTACTAGGAGGGGTTATCTACAGTGTACTATGCTCCAGAACATCTCCTGGGCACAAGGCAGAAAATGTCTCCATATTTTCTGTTTGAGCAGCTACCTGGAATTCACCTGCTTTTGCTTCACCTGCTTCCTTCAAGTTTGAAATGAATTAAAGGGTAAGCTTGTCCAAAGTCTAATACCCTGAATGGGACATTGCAACTAGATTCCAGATCCAAATGCCACAAGTGTCCCTTAGTGATAGAATAGGTAAAACCACCAGGACATTGGTATTCAAAATTCATACCTACATCTGAATTATGTAGCTTTAGTACATCTGTGCTCTTTGCTGTTTTAGCATGTTGCCTGAAGAATTAGGTACAAGAATGCTGATGGTCTGTGTAGACTTAGTCAGTGAGAACTGGAAAGCACTTTCTATCTTTATTACCAAATTAATGTTCACAACTCTCCTAAAGGGTAACCCCTTCTGTCTGAAACACTGAACTTCAGTCTATATAATAGAACTCCTCTGTTAAGCTGCTTAATGCATGAGAAAAATCCATGGGCCTTCTCCCCTGCACAATTCAATTACCTCATTATGCCTTGTCTGTGTCTACATGTATAAAATCTTTTTGTAGTGCACTGAAACCCTGAGTTCACCAGTGAAGAGAATATGCCTGAGACAAGCCTGCATTCTGTGTGACCTGGCCATATTTCATAACTTAAATTCAGGGTTTCCAACCTTTTCAAATAAGTGTACCCCTTCTGACTCAAAGTTTCAACTCCTGTACCCCCTTATTTTTTTCTTATTTTCAAAGGGGATGCAGACTGAGACCCCCACAGTGATGGAGGGAATGGGGCTGGGGCAGGTGTTGCACAGCCAGGGCAGGGTGGGTGTGGGATGGAGCCATGAGCAGCTTGTCTGGAGGGTGTGGTGGGAGTGGCTTCTGCTGCTGCATGCACCCCAGGAGGGCATGGGGGTTGCATGCCCCTGGATCTGAGTATGGGGCAGGCTGGGGCCATGGCAGCACTGGGCTCTTCCCAGCAGGAGGCTGGGCCGGGCTGTGCTCAGGGCAGGCAGTGGTGGCACTGGGAGCAGGGTTACAGTAGGGCCTGCAGCCACTCCAGAATTCTCTGTAGCCTCCCCCCCCCCAGCATTGGTAAGAGGCAAACTAAGGGAATGTGTCAGGGAAGCCGCCACCACTGCACCCTGGGGCACACTCCATCCCTGCCCACCTACCTATGTGTACCCCCTACAGTTTTTCTAAGTACCCCTGGGGGTATACCTACCCCTGGTTGACAACACCTGCTTTAACTGAATCAGCTTAAGACAGTTTGCTCTACTTTGCAACCGTTGCTTTCCTTGTGTTAAGTCTTATACTAACACAAGTATTTTATTTACCCTTCACTGGGTTTGGAGCAGTCTGCTGAAACTGAAATCATAACATTTTAAGTTGTCATATTGTCTCCATGTTTAAGAATAGGTGTGGTGTAGAGTTAATTTAAATCTTTCATTAAATAAAAGTGGCAACATTCTTATATCCCTGCATTGTTGTACGATACATGACATTCCATGCTATACCCAGCTTTAAAATACACCACTGACTGCCCTATACTATGAAATCTTGAAGTATGTATAACTCTTATCAATTTTTGCATGCATTCAGATGAAAGCAGCTGTGTGTAAAACAGATTATCATTTGAAGCATGTAGATTATAGCCAAGAGAAATATCCCCTGAGTAAAAGTCACTGAACTGACAAGAAACAACTGCTGTGTCAAAATGTGTTTCACTAAATCACATTCATTCATTTATAATGTTAGTTTGTAACTGTAATTGCCTACCCAGATCACAGTTTTCCTATGATACCATTTATTTTCAATATTAACACAATCTGCCAAACTTTGATATGGTATATTTATCATAATTTGTTTCTGTTAAAATATAAAAATTACAGTGCTGACATTTTCAAATAGCACAAATTTAGTTTTGAAGATCGACATTATATTTTTGCACTAAAACACAAACAGGTGTTAGTAGAATTGAGTCTAAGTAAAAGGAATCTAAAATGGTATCACGCATGTTTTCTTCTAACCTCCTATATAACCCGAACAACTCTGTTATTTTAGAATCACCCCTTTCCCCTTCCCACTTACTAAATGTGTTTTTTTTTACTTGCTACCACTAAACTTGACCTGCTAAGTTAAGGAAATATATAATGGTGTCACAAGAGTAGGAAGATGTAAGTTATACCATCTCTGACTCTAAAGCTAGGGACAGAAGTTACACATAAACCAGTATAAGTGATTATAAACTGGTTGAGATCTGTAACAAACCAGAAGTTCAGTGCACATAAACCACTTTCAAAATGGCTGAAACCAGTTTAAGATAAAGCTGTAGGGATGTAGTATCAGACTTAACTGATTTAGGTTAAATCAGTTTATTGAACTTCTGTCCCAGTTCCCCTTCAAATTCAAGTTAATTCACAGGCCCCCAGCATCCCAGGATGCTTTACACCTCCCCTGCAACCCCCACCCCTTGCAGGGTGAGTGGGCTAATCTTGGCTCAAGCTGTCTGCTCCAGCCAATCAGGGAGGTGTGCTCTAGCACCCCCTGGAGTATAGCCTGAACCACTGCAGGCATGTGGCTGCATTTCCAGAATCAAAATTAATGTCTGTTCACTTGCTTATCAGTTCAATCTACTTAGTGTAGGCTAACCTGTGAAGATTGAATTGATTCAGCTTTAGGCTTTTTGACTGTCTGTACTTAGCCTGTGAGATTAATCTGTGTTTTGATTTTTGCTTAGTGAGGAATTGCTACCTTGGTGTGCATTGCTTTAACAAAGAATATTCTTCACTTTTAAAAATGAATAAATACACTCCCCTTATGCTTGTTTCCCGTAAAAATTCCATTTACTATATAATTCTTCTAAGTCAGTATAGCTCCAAAATTCAGAGTAAAAAAGTAACAGGAAAGGAGGATCTAGCATCACTTGTGGACATGAAGCAGAAAATAGTCAGACAGACCATTTGTAAGTCCTAAGTTAATTGTACAATAGCAAATCTGATCCATTGAGTTAAAACCCCCAAGCCATATTTTTCTTAGAACTTCTTGCAGAATGAGCAGTACTGTGAAAGAGCTGAGTTTATGATAATGCTGAAAGGATTCCTGCATTTTAGTGTTTTTTGTGAAGAACTGTTGAAATGATAAAGGAAATACAGTACATCATAATAGTGGTAACATAGTGGTGTGTGTATTGTATATAACTTAATTTGTGATGGATCATATTCTTTCTTGTGATAGCAGAACTATAGTATATACATAGCAATTGGCATTAAGAAAATCTACACTTAGAATGGCCAGTTGCTCACATTCCAGATGAGTACTCTAACCACAGAGCTGCTGGATATAATGGGAAAAGGTACTATTATTTCTTCCCCTATGACTTTGTTGGCCAGTTCATTCTGGTAGGTGAGATCTGAGAC